AAACTACACAGAGAAACCCTGTCTTGAAAACAACAACAACAACAAAGTCTACCAAAATACCATTGAGTTCATTTTGTGTTGGCCAAGTCATGAAGCCTATCTAGAAATGTGGTTAATATACCCAGTGAGACTCCATTGCCAGTGGATATCAATTACAGATAGTCAACTTTCCCCTCTCAGTGCTGGGACCCATTCTGGCTCGAACCTGTGCAGGACCTGTGAATACCACCTATTAGGAAAGCTGTTATACCTGTGGACATGTTAAATGATCTGAGGAATAATTATCCTCTTAGCAAAATAATGAATCTATATACCCCAGAACCTCAATAGCCTTGCTCTACAAAGACAGGGGCTTTGTTCATGAGCTTTTTTGGTCATTTGCAGTGTCAATTTTCTCCCCAGTGTTAGGTCACATGTGGTTCTACATAAAACTTCATGCATAGCATGTCTAATTAGCACCTTAAGTTTTCCACACAAGAGTGTGAATTTTAGTAGTATAGTAAGCCATAGGCTACTTCCAGATTTTTAAATTATTTTAACTTTTATTGATTCTTTGTGGGTTTCACATCTGTATCCCGTTTCCACTTATCTCCCTGTTCCCCTGCATCTGCCCTTTGTCCTTGCACCCTCCCCACCAAAAACAAAACAAAATTTAAAAGAAAAACAAAAAAAAAACAAAATAAAAAATAAAAATAAAGATCTTTTCATGGAAGCTTTAGTGTGGCCCAGTGAGTCACACAGGTTACTCTTCAGTCTTTACTTGCAAGTGTTCATTGCTATGAGTCATTGGTCTGGTTCAAGGTCTCTGGCTTCTGATATACCACCAATAATGGGATCTCACTGGGGGTCCTATTGGATATACTGCTGTTGTCCTGTGTCATGGAGATCCTGCAGCTTTGGATCTGTAGGCTTGCCCCCTTCACATGCTCCAACAGTTCATAATTGAGGTGGATGTTGGGGTGGGCTAACTCAGCCCTGGTTCTGGGCCTGGGTGGTAGCTGGGTTTGTCATCACACCAGCATTCCCTCAGCATCACTACATGGACAAGCTCTCCAACACTGCCTCAGCAAGCTCACCCAATGCAGTCTTCAGCAGGGAATAGGGCCAGTTCTCTGGCTTTCAGGTCCTTGAGTCCATCTTACCCACACACACACACCACCACCACCACCACTGTCAGGTCTACTGTTTTTCCCAGGTGAGGTGCAGGGCCCTCTCTACTGATTGCTGTAGGGAGCATACAAGTATGGGGTGGGTCAGCTCTCCTGCTCTTACACCCTCAGGGCTGGCTCACCTGCAATCCCGACAACAGGATTACCTCTAGGGTGCTGCCCAGGCAGTGTCTAGGGCCTGTTCTCCTTAGTGCTGCAGTTGCCTAGGGACAGGGCTAGTTTTCGCACCTCCTGACCCAAGGTCTTGCCTGTCATAGGTAGCAGTCAAGCATCATTATGGTGAGTGAGTATAGGGTAGAGAAATGGAAGAGAGAGAGAGAGAGAGAGAGAGAGAGAGAGAGAGAGAGAGAGAGAGAGAGAGAGAGCAGAATGGTTCATGGTCTGGGGAGAGAGGCAGCTCTGAAGAGGTGAGGGTGGTGAGGAACAAGCTGACTTGAACAGCGGCCTTGAAGCAGCTAAGGGTGTGTGTGTGTTGACATCTGTTACTCCTGTCACAACTGAGGGCCATGTAGAGGCCTGTACTCCAGGCTGCAACCTTGGGCCATGTATGTGTCTGAGGGCCAGACTGCTGCAGAATGGGTTATGGTGATCTAAGTGGCCTGTGCTATCTCCTGGGGCCATGATAACATCCAGGCCCTGGGCTGCTGCTGAAGACCATGTCTGGGTCCATTGTCCTATCACAGCCAGAGTCTGTGTTGATGTCCTGTGACCCATGTTGCCACCAAAGGCCACACACATGTCTAGGGTATTTGGTTTAATAAAAAGCTGACTGGCCAATAGCTAGACAGGATTTTGGGGGCTGAGAGAATGCTGAGAAGAAGGACAGAGATGCCAGGAGATGCAGAGAAAGCATGACATGTAGGAGAAGTAACAAGCCATGAGCCATGTGGCAGAACATAAATTAATAAAAATGAGTTAAGTTATAACAGCTAGTTAAAAACAAGCCTAAGCTATTGGCCAAGTTTTAATAATTAATAAGAAGTCTCCATGTGTTTATTTGGGAGCTGACAGGCAAGACAGAAAGATTGATGAGAGGTGGCATCCAACATGGGGAATAGTATATATTTCCACTTGAGACCTGAGAAAGCTTTTAAAAAAGGTTCCAAACACACAAAACAGAGCCAAACATGGCTTCCTAGTCCCATAGTCTCTCATGCAGGCTGTGGTACAGAAAAGTGTCTCCCGGCCACTGACTCTAGGCAGTGTGCCAAGGTTTTACTCATGCAGACAGAAAAGATTACAGATAACACAGTAAAGCATGTTCATACAGATAAAATCACTAAACAAGTTGCAGTGTGTTTAACAATGTGTGTAGGCTTAAAAAGAAGAAAGAAAAAGCATATAGACACTCATAAATAAGTAAATAGTTTAAAAATAAAGTCTTTCTGAGTCTGGGTTACCTCACCTAGGAAGCTATTGATAGAACTCTAATCCAGTGACTGGTGGAAGCAGATTCAGAGATCCATTGCCAAACCCCAGGTAGAACTCCAAGAGTCCAACTAGCGAAAGAGAGGAGGGGTGATATGAGCAAGAGATATCGAGACCATGATTGGAAAAAACACAGGGACAAATAGCCAGTCTAGCAGAAACACATGAACTGTGAACCAATAGCTGAGGAGCCCCCATGGAACTGGACTAGGAATGGAATAGGCCCTCTGGATGAGTGAGATAGTTGATGAGCCTGAACTGTTTAGGAGGCCCCCAGGCAGTGGGACTGGGACCTATCCTTGGTACATGAGCTGGCTTTTTGAAACCTAGGGCCTATGCTGAGACACGTTGCTCAGTCTTGGTGAAGGGAGGAAGGGACTAGACCTGCCTCAACTGAATCTACCAGGTTGGGCTGAATCCCCAGGGGAGACCTTGCCTTGGAGGAGGTGGGAATGGGGGGTGGATTGGGGGGAATCCTGGGGGGTGGGAGGAAGGAGGACAGGGGAAACCGTGGGTGATATGTAAAATTAATTATAAAATAAAAATATTTATTAAAAAAAGAACTGAACTTGGGTTCTCTAAAGCAGCAAGAAATCATAATCATTGAGCCATCTCCCCAGTACCATGTTCTGCTTTTTAATTATTATTTCGCATAATGTACCAAGTGGGTCCTAAAATGAACTTAGGGATTCTCCTAGAGTCATGAGTCTCTGCCACATTGTGGCAATAAGTGATTTTTATTTGTATGTGTGTGAGTGTCCTGACAGTCTTTTCAGATTCTTAAGAAAGAAATACTTGGTCTCCACTCACTAAGGTAACTCTGGAGTTAAAAGAACCATACTACACCAATTCTCAGGAAATATGTAAATCCTGGCATCTGCCAGCCAGGAAATTTGGTTTCTGAAGATTAAAATAACTCCAGAGTTGAAGGAAGCATGCCATCCTAATTTCCAGTAAGCTTGTGTGCTGTGGTAGCGCCCTCGCTACCATCACCTGTTCACCATGTCCCAGCAAGAGACTGTGGATTAAAAAACAGAGACAAAAGACAGCGGCTCATCCGCCCCAGCAGAATGCCAAATCCTGTTTATTGAATGAGGGAGGAAACCTTAAATACAGGTTTACAGCACAATGGAGGAACCCCGGAGGGCTGAAGTTCACTACCGAATGTTCTACATTCTTGCATATAAGCTGTTTACACCAAATGCAGGATACATGAACAAAGAACCTCTGGTGAACTTTCAGGAAGAAGGGAATCAACATAGGGAGGACATCTTGTCAAAGTCGGCAAGCAAGGCAGCAGCTACTCAAAATGGGGGACCAGGACCCTACAGGTCCCCACTTTTTACTAAAAAATGAACTTCTGACTTAGGTTGTGTGGGATGTCAGCAGATTGCCTTACCAGTCATGGAGACACCTGCTCAGGCCACACAAGTGCTCTGTCTTAGGTTGGCAAGCACCCCCCAGACATTACCCGACTCTAAATACTCATTATCATACAGGCTCAACCACGTGAGCTGTAGAGTTAGCTGTTGCCAAAGATCTCAAAGTGGCACTGGGCTTGCAATCTGTGCGACACAGAAAAGACCAACAGAAGTCCTAACCCACCCATAGCCAGTAGGCTAAAGGCAATTGAGCCATTCCCTTCCTTAACGAGCCTTACTGCAAATTGGAGTCCTCTTAAGGTGTTATCCCAAAAGCAAGTGGAACTTGAGTTTCATAAATTTTATAACTTTCAAAGCCAATCAAAATGTATATAACTGTTGAATTAAATTTATCATGCCCAATAGAATGAAAGAGTAATTAACTGTGGTAGCTACTTTTGTTGCCAGGGTCTCCATTGTACTAGCTGTAGTAACCAATTAAGAAATAACAATCCCAGAAACAGTAGCAGCAGTGACTGCCACTGCTATGACAGAACAACATTAGCAGCAATGTCAAATTCTCTTCTGGAGCATATGAGAATCATCTGTGTCTAACTGCCACAGTCCACTAGCATGGACACAGCTCCAGGAACATGAACCTCCAAGGCCCATTTTTCTTTATCCCAGCACGACTTAAGCTGGGAGCTCTGCAAAAGAACAACTAAAAACCGTAAAGAAAAACAGACAGCAAACAAGGAGCAGAACTAATGGTCTCATAATGGCTACATTCAGGCTCACAAATTTTAAGGTATCTTCAAAGGAGGCTAGATGAATTTCAGGAGGCCAGTAAAAGTTGCACAGAGCCACTCCTGAAAAGTAGGTACTACACCAGGTTGAAGAGGATTGTGAAAATGAAAAGGCTTAGCTGGCATGCTACTGTGAACAAATAGAGGTCAGTGACATTCAGGGTTATCCTTAATCTCTAAGATGTCTGAGTGACACGTTCTCAAACATACTTGAAAAATCAGTTACCATATATTACCTTCTGAAGAATCCAACCGCATGGCTGTAGTTCCTAGGCTTATATTAATGCTTGCCAAGGATGGCCATATTGGGCTCTCAATCCCCATTGACATCAGAAGGGAAAAGTTTTTCACAAAGGCCCAGTAGGTCTCTGCCATGTTGGGATTCAGCAGCAGCCACAGGGCGCACACAGCGTTCAGGAACCCAAAGAGGAACTTCATTGTCCTGCGGAAAGACCAAAGAGATCCCGGGGCCCACACCAACACCAGATCGGGTCCCCTCAAGTGCCAGTAGAACGATCCTTCCATCGCACCAGAGAATGATTTGCAACAGGAGCCCTCAAGTGCTTATCTGCAGCAGATACCCCAGCAGAATCCACTGATAAAAAATTAAAATATATAAAACAAGGAAAAGAATAGAATGTGGAAAGGAGAGATAAGCCCCTAGCTCCCCCTTTTTTACTTTAGCAAAATATGTTTTTAAGGTACAATGGCAACATTCTACTAAAGCCTGTCCTTGAGGATTATAAGGAATACCAGTCTTACTAACAATAGAAAAATCTTGGCAGAATTTTGAAAATCCCGTACTGCTGTAGGCAGCAACATTATCTTTCTTTATGCATTTTGGCACTCCCATATAAGCAAAAGCATGAAGATAATGATTCTTTACATTCTTAACCTTTTTCCCTGAATGGGCAGAAGCAAAAATTAGAGAGGAATATGTATCAATAGACACATGGACATATTGTAATTTTCCAAAGGAAGGCACATGTGTGACATCCATCCACCACACATGATTAAGTAAAAGTCCTCAGGGATTAACTCCCAAATGAGGAACAGGCAAAAATTCAGCACAAATGGGACATGATTTAACTATCTGGTTGGCTTGTTCCCGGGTTATGCCCGTGTGATGACACAGAGATCCAGCATTAAGATGATAATGTTGATGTAACTGTGTAGCCTCTTCAAAGGCAGAACAAATTAGTGTGACAGCCATAAGAATAATGTCATCAGCCCTCTGATTACCTTCACTTAGAGGTCCATGCTATGGATATCACTCTGTATAAATAAAATGCTGATTGGCCAGTAGCCAGGCAGGAAGTATAGGCAGGACAAGCAGAGAAGAGAATTATGGGAAGTAGAAGGCTGAGACCGAGAGACACTGCCAGCCGCTGCCAAGACAAGGAAATGTAAGGTACCGGCAAGCCATGAGCCACGTGGCAAAGTATAGATTAATAGAAATTGGTTAATTTAAGTCATAAGAACAGTTACCAAGAAGTCGGCCATGGCCATACAGTTTGTAAGCAATATAAGTCTCTGTGTTTACTTGGTTGGGTCTGAGCGGCTGTGGGACTGGCGGGTGACAGAGATTTGTCCTGACTGTGGGCTAGGCAGGAAAACTCTAGCTACAGGTCCAGGCAATTGAGTATGAGCTCTACTATGGCCCACATAAAGGTTATGTGAGTGGGACCATATGAGTCCTTGCACTTGCAATAAATATTCATGAATGAGAAAAATGGATGGTATGTAGGCTGTTGTCTCTAAAGGCATAATGGGATATGCCACATATTGGCTATCAGTATAAATGTTTAGAAGCTCATCAGAAAAAAATCTGTAAAGCAAGCAATAGTGCTTGTACCTCCACCATCTGGGTGGAAGTGCCCTGGATTTTCATTCTCTTCACTATGTTACCAGAAACTACCACAGCAAAATCACATGAAATGCCATTAGTAAATACCACATGGGCCTGAGGAATAGGAGTCCTCTGTACTATCTTGAGAAATATAACAGGATGCAATGTAAAAAATTGACATACATCATTGGAGGGGTAGTGAGTATTAAACTGACCCTGCATGGAGCATGTCAATATGGTTCAATCATTATCATTAGCTTGCAACCATGCTGTTTGAGACTGAGTGTATGGGGTCACCACAATATCTGGCTCCTTACCAAAAGTTTCATCAGTGATCTTGATTCCCTTAAATATAATCTGAGCAACAGCCTGTGGATAAGGAGTAATGGTTTTTGCTGGAGAAGCTGGGGAATGTACCCATAGAATAGAACCTGTTTGCCAAAACACTCCAGTAGGTGAATGAGAAAAAAAAATATTCATGACCTAAATAATGATAGGGAAAGGATACTTGTACGTTTTCTGGGGATATCTGTAAATTAGCCAGGCTAAGAACCTCTTGTAATTTAGAAAAGGCATCAAACACAAGTTTTTTATCTTTAGCAGCCAATAAAATATCATCCATATGTCAATCACAATTAAATGCTAATGTTTAGGAATTGCCACAGGGGCAGGAAAACCAGGGTGTGTTGCTCCCATGAGAAGCATGGTTTTATTTACAGCTCTAAGATCCTGTATTAGTCTCCATTTTCCTGACTTCTTGTAGAGGCCAGTTGGTATCTCAGAATTCTTGTGAAATTATAGATATATCCAGCACCAGAATCCAGTAATCTTTCAATCTCAATCCCATATAATTTATTTTTAATTTAGGCTGTTTATCATTGATAACTGTTTGTCAAAACACCTTTTCTCCTCTACTTCCAAAGCCTCCAGTTCTATATATAGGCGCCATTTTGCATTTAAAATATGAAAGCAATAATAATTGAGCAATCCTATCACCAGCTTCTATTTCCATGATCCTTTTTATATATGCCAATTATAAAAGCATTAAATACAATCTCTATAGGATTTGAAGAGGTAAATTTAGCTAATACTCTTCTAGAGTATTTTTATAAAATCTTTTAAAAAGAGGGTCCTTTTTTATAGATTCCAAGTAACACATTAATGTAAATCACCAATTATTAACAATGTGGACCAAACAATTTATCTGCATTTTATATACTGGAAAAATAATTTTGTAACCTCTTTATCTGTAAGAGATTATTTTTTATGGGTTTATCTTAGCAACAACATTATTTAATAAGCTAACAACCCAATCCATTTCAGGTGTTATATTTCTACAGAATTTCCAAGAATTTTTAGAAAGCAGAGCCAAATTTTCAGTAATGATCAACAGATAAGAGTACACCTAATATATAGTTCAAAATTATGAATCCTGTTCCTTTAGTTTATCTACCAGGAGAATCAAACATTCATCCAAACATTTATTAAGACAATGAAAAGAACAGAACATCCTTTATACAATGAATGATCAATATCTCTGGAAATTCAACAGCATTGACTTAGCATTCCATGTCCTGACCGAAAACATTTTTCACCAGAAGTTGGGCCCGATTAAACTTTTCGAGCAAGTCCCTCTCCTGGCCTCTGCTTGCTTGCCTGCCCACGAGTCCATTCCCCTTGTTGGTCTTGCGGCTAAGCCTCCCATGAGGGCATACCTGCCTGCCCACTATCTCGTGTGCCGCCACACATGCCTTTGTCCACTGCGCAGGCCCGCACATGTGCATTCCTGTTTAAACTTCCTCTTACTCCCATGAAGGGATTACCTAATAATGAGTTATTCCCACCATAAGAGAAAAACAAAAAAACATTTCCCATGAAGGGGATCCTAAATATTGAGTTATTCCCACTCTGAGGGAAACATAAAAAAAACATTAAACAGACAACAACACTTCTAACCTGTGGGCTCCATTGCTTGTTCAGCCAGCAGCAGTGAGGCCCACCTGCTGACTCTTTGTAATTCAGATGCTGCCACTCTGCACTGGCAGACACAAAGAGCTCAGAGTTTCAGCTATCCTGATTTTTTTTTTAATTGGAAAGAGCCTTTTCTTCCTCCATTACCACTGGGAAGAGGCTTTTCTCTTTCCTTCATCCTTCCTCTACAGGGCCTCAAAATCTTTAGGCCTAGTTTCAAAATTTTTCCCCTTTTTACTGGGAAAATCCTTTTTTCTTGATTAAAATTTTCTTCCTTTTCTAATGGGAAATTTCCTTTCCTTCCTTCTTCTCTATTGGGAAGATTTCCTTTTTTATTTAAAATTTTTAGCTGTCCTGCCCTTCTTAACTGCGGTGGTGCCCTATTGCACCCATTTTAATTCACCCTTATCTTTTCTTTAAAGTGCTGGCCAGCCTTACCTCTTCCGGTGTCCATCAGCTTGTCCCTTCTTTCTCGGATCTCCGTAGAACCTCCACTTGTGGACTTTGGTCATTATAAATGAAAGTAACTCTGGGACCAAGCAAAGCTTGCTACTCCTGATTTTCAGGCAAGCTGACCTCTGATGGTCAGTTTAATTCTTGATTCATATGGGGCATGCTGAAAGATTTACAACAAGCCCCCATGGTCAGGCGTGATTGCATATGCCTGGCGGACACTTCCGCCTAGCCAGGTCCAGATCAGTATAGCCATTTCCGGGTCAGGACATCTCGCGGGACCAAGATCCCTGACGTTCCACTAGTCACGTAGGCGCACAACATGGCCATGTGATCTACGCGCTTGTGTGTAGTAGTGACGCTGATCTGTCCACGCCCAGCCTTTAAAAATCCGGCGCCATGTTCCCGGTTCCTTCTTCTCTACACACGTGTTTCCCGCAGGCCTGTTCACTCTCTGTCCCTTCACCTTTAATAATACTCTTGTTAGCGGATTCTGTCGTGGTGTTTCATGGCATTTCCTTGCAGGGTAAGAACACAACGCAGCCGAAAAACTAACATTTTGGTGCTGAAACCGAGCGGGCGCTTCCGGGCGCCCGGTGCCTGGCGCCTGGAAACCCATAACCGGGGACTGCAACACTCTGCTCCGTACGCGACAGACCGCTCTCCATTTTGCCTGACCGCAAAAATTCCATGCAACACCGCTTTCTCCGATTGGTGAGTCCCCCCATTTTTCGGCCAGCGTAAACGGTTTCCTGAATCTGTGAGAACGACCGTTGATCGTCCGGCGCCTCACCAGTATTCTTGAGACCGGGGGAACCCCCGACCACGGTCTTCATTGGCTACGGTCGGCCCCTATCGCAGGCCTCAGATTTTTAGCCCTCTCCCACGTCTGCAGCCTGAGATATTTCTCGCGTTGGGACCACCGCCGTTGGGTGCGTCCTGGGGGCCACGTGGGGCCGACATGTTCATCCGACTTGACGAAGCGGCAGACGCTGTCCGGGTTCCCGGGGAATCCTTTCCTCACGTGGCAGGGGTCCCCGATTCTGTGGCTGACAAGCCAAGGAGCGGCTTTTGCCCGGTATCTGTCCTTGGCCTTGGGGAC